CCTGTCCCCAGGTCGCCAAGAAGGTGGGCTGCCCCCAGGATGACCCCACCAGGATGGCCAAGTGCCTGAAGGTTGCCGACCCCCGGGCCCTGACCTTGGCCTACACAATTCCCTGGGCAAAACGGGAATGTAAGTGGACTCTCAGCTGGAGGCCATGGAGGTTTCAGGCTCGGGCAGGCCCTGCGTGTTGAGGCTGAGCACCTGCATCGAGTGGACGTGCAGTGTCCAGCGTGTGGCTCACAGCCTGGAGTGGCCGTGGGCTGTGGGTGGCTGCTCCTCTCCTCCTCTCCTCTGAGTACCGAGTGGCCCCTCCGGGGAGCCCATGGCCTCGTGCTCCCTCCAGGCCCTGGCAATGCCTACATTGCAGTGTTCGCTCCCAGTTTTAGGGGATTCTCGGACCCCAGACCCTGCGGCTGTGCGCGACTCGATCTTCCCTTCTTCCTTCCCTCGTTCATCCAGCAGATAATGCGCCCCACGTGGGTGAATGCCAGGCCTTCCCAGCGGGACCCGCCGCAGGGGTCTGCGTGCAGAGCAGAGAATGAGAGGAGGGCCTCGTTCATTTTCCAGCTAACCTTGAATGGAGTTAAATCTTTAATAGAAAATTTCTCCTGGGACCAGTTCTCAAGGACAGGGGTAGAGAAAAGAAATAACTAGATAAAGCCACCACATAGCCTTGGCACTTGTATAAAAAGACCAGAGAGAGAAGGAACTGCCAGGCAGACTGCAAGAAAATGGAGCGCACCATGCCGAGGGCTGCTGCTCCCAGGGGACGCAGAGGTAGAGTGTGGCTAAGTATGGGGAAAGTGGTCATGAAGTATGTACACACACCCACACACACCCACACACCCACACACACAGTCACTCTGGGGTCACTGTACGATCCACAATAGCTCATTGTATTCCCATGGTAAATACCCACACACTCCCTTATTAACTGAGCTAAGATGAATAAGGCAACCTCTAGCCATCCTGCTGCCTGTCGGAGAACAGACCCTACCAAGGACAAATAAGCAGACACCAAGAAGTTAGATAGATCACCAGACAGAAATGATCTAGGTGCGGGGGGGGGGGTCTCATCCAAAGACACCCCAGGGAAGCAATTAGACTGTGGGAAGTTCTTTTTTTTTTTTGGCGGAACCAGGGATTGAACTCAGGCTCCTGTTCTTGCCAGGGAAGTGCTTACTCCACTGAGCCATCTCCGTGGCCCCTTGTCGGAAGTTCTGTGCAGGACAAGACGCTTGACACCTAATAAAAGCACTGGGCGAAGGAAGGCCCACACATGCTCCAGCTTTCCAAGCCCCATCCGGACTCTTAGTGGGGCAGGAATGCACCCCTTCCCTTCCAGGACAGCGCCTTTATTTGCAAACTTTGTATTTTTAATTTCCTTCTGGAACTGAGTTTACCATCCTGGGCAGTGCTCGTGCGCTGGGTTCTACATTAGCAGTGCCAGCCCCTACCTGGGCCTCCCGGTCCCTCTTGCCCTCTCCTTAGCCAGAGTGCCCTGAAGCCCCGTCATTGCCATCTGTACCCAGTGCAATGAACCAGAAGTCTTGGCAAGACACAGCCACGCAAATACAGTGGCCCCATATGCAACTTTCCCACACCTTTCATTTCTGTTCATGGAACTGGGGATCCCCCAGCCTGGCGCATGCTGAGTTTTATGTCCCTGTGCTGCACTCCTGTCCCCGCCAACCAATATTCTTTGGAATATGCTGTAGAAAAGCTGAAGCTGCCTGTCGTGCCAGGGCAAGCTGAGGGTCCAGAATGGGGTGCCAGCCTTGCACAAGTGCTAAAGCACAGAGGAGACCCTATCCTGAGAGGTGGCGCCCCCTTTGTCCATAAGCCACCTCCAGCGCTGCCAGGTCTTCTCAGCTCTTGATTTAAGGGAGGGAAGAAAGAGACTGACACTGAAGCAAAGGGACAAACCTGGCCCCCAGAGCCATGTGCTCTTCCTGTGGGGCCACGTGGCAATGTCTGGACACATTTATGATTGTCACCAGGGGAGAATGGGGCTCAGGGAGGGATGCAACGCAACAGCCCACAGTAGAAGACAGCTCCGCCCGGTGCAGGGTTCTTCAGTCCTGGGACCTCAGGGCTGGCTTGAGAAAGCATGGCGGAGATGTACAGGGTAGAGATGAACGCTGAATCCAAAGGGAGGCGCGTGAACCTGCTCCCTCTGCCACGTAGACCCTGCGATATATTATCTGAACACTGGGCCTGTCGTCGATGGAGACTTCATTCCCGATGATCCGCTCAACCTGTTTGCCAACGCTGCTGACATCGACTACCTCGCAGGCACCAATGACATGGATGGCTACTTCCTCGCAGCTCTGGACATGCCCAGCATTCAGGATTCCAACAAGAATATCACAGAGTAAGCACAGAGCTAGGATCCAAGAGCAGCCCTTGCTTGGGGACAGTGGGAAGGAGCACCCTGGTGAGTCTGCCCCAAAGGGAGAAGACATCAGAAGGGGAGAATGAGGCAGTGGGGCGCGTTGGGGTGGATGTGCAGACCCTCCTGGTGGCTGAGGGGCAGAGTCGAGTGCCTGCTTGGTGCCTGCAGTGAGGACTTCTACAATCTGGTCACTGGGTTCACCATGACCAAGGGCCTGGATGGTGCCAGGGCCGCCTTTGACATCTACACCGAGTCCTGGGCCCAGGACAGTTCTCAGGAGACCAAGAAGAAGACAGTGGTGGACCTGGAGACGGACATCCTCTTCCTGATGCCCACAGAGAAAGCCCTGGCCCAGCACAGAGCCAACGCCAGGTGAGGGCCTGGGAAGAGGGTGGCGTCCTGGGGAGGGTGTCCAGGGCGCTGCCCCTCCATGCCATGCCTCCATGACAAGCCACCCGAGGTCTGAGCTTCCCCGACCTGGAGAGAGGGAGGCGCTGAGGGCCCCTGCCCTGTGCAGCCAGATGAGAAATGGGAGCACACGGAGGAAGCTTCCGGAGGGGGCAGGAAGCCTCGCCGAGGCTGAATCCTCGGTTCCCTGCACTGCGCTTGCTCTGTGGGCACCTGAGCTGGATGAAGGAGGGGCAAGCGCAGTGCGGACTGCGGGATCCGGAGCCCAGGCTGCCGCTGTCCCCCAGCCAGGTGTAGGAGCCCGGGTTTCCCTGCAAGTCCTGCCATTCCCTGCTCCCCAGCTCCCTCCAGGACCCTTTGTGGCTGGGCAGCCCCGCACCCAGGTGGGTCAGCCCCGCACCCAGGCTGTGTCTCCTCCCCACAGGAGAGCCAGGACCTACGCCTACCTCTTTTCTGTACCTTCTCGGAATCCAGACTTCCCAACATGGATAGGGGCTGATCACATGGAAGAAATTGCCTATGTGTTTGGAAAGCCCTTCGCCAACCCCCTGGGCTACCGTGCCCAGGACAGGAAGGTGTCCAAGGCCATGATCGCCTACTGGACCAACTTTGCCAGGACTGGGTAAGGCATGAACCCAACCTGGGACCCGGGCAGCGGTTCGAGGGCCCCAGCCCCGTGGTCTGGGATCTAGTCCCGGCTCCCTCCCTTACCGCGGGGAGGCTCTGCGTGTGTTGCATGACCTCCTGGCGTTGGCATCTCCATCTCTATGTGAGGGTTGGAGCTGAGGACCGGGACCGGGCGTCCGAGCTCCTCAGCCAGGCCTGAGTCATGACCAGGTAGGCGCGGAGGCCCGAGGGCCATGCACAGAGCTGGCTGGGAGTCTCCGGGCTCTTAGGGCCTTCTGCCCCCACTTATCCGGTTCTCACTCTGCAGGGACCCCAACAATGGCTTCTCGGCTGTGCCCACACACTGGTATCCCTATGCCACGGACGACTGCAGCTATCTGGACATCACTAAGAAGATGGGTAGTGACTCCATGAAGCGGCACCTGAGGACAAAGTTTTACCAGTTCTGGACCCGGACCTACGAGGCGCTGCCCACGGTGGCTAATGCGCCCACCCCTGTTCCCCCTTTGGATGACTCTGAGGACGCCTCAGTGTCCCCTTTGGGTGACTCCAAAGCTTCCCCTGTGTCCCCTTTGTTGGACTCTGAGGCCACCCCTGTGTCCCCTTTGGGTGGTTCCAAAGCTGCCCCTGTGTCCCCTTTGTTGGACTCCGAGGCCACCCCTGTGTCCCCTTTGGATGACTCCGAGGCTGCGCCTGTGTCTCCTCTGAACCACTCTGAAGCTGCCCCCACATCCTCTGCATATGAATCCCAGGCACCTCAGATGCCCCTTGGCTTTGGTTTCTAATATATGCATCTGGTTGCGATTTGTCCACAAGCTTTGAGCCCTGAGAATATCTACTTTCCTGAGCTCCTACAGAATAAAGCCCCATCCTTCCTCTCAGTCCACTTACCTTGCTCTAGTGAGCAGGGGGAGAAAGGAGAGGCTATTGGTCATCCATAACAAAAACAGGCACCTGGCCTGATGCCACCATGTCTTCTTGGTCCATCTCCAGTCCCCAGGGAGTCCATAGCACTGTCCTAATCTAGAGGAGGGGAGCCCCACCCAGAGCCACTAAGGGTGGGGTCTTTTGCAACAGGAACCAACACTCAGTCTCCTCCAGAGGGCCCTGAGGCCTCCAGGGACCTGGTAGTGAGTAAGGGCTTTTCAGGGTGAAATACACGCAACAGGAAATCAAGGGACATTCACCATGAAGTTCGTTACTTGCACTTGCTCTGTTTCCCAGAGACAGGCACTCACCACTACACATTTCCCTCATAGCCTGCTTTCGCTGTTTCCTGTAAGTTCCTGTCTGTTGCACTGCTATTGTCATTTCCTTGCAGAAAACTGTCTGACTTCTCTTTAGATTTCCTCTGTGGCCCGGTGATTGTTCAGGAGGGTTGTGGTTTCTTTTGCTATTCATTTTGAAGCTCATTGCACTATGGTCTGATAATATACATGATATAATTTCAATTGCATTGGCTTTACTTAAACACGTTCTACTAGGTGGTCTATTCTGGAGAATGTCCCACGTGCAGCTGAGAAGAACATGTATTCTGATATTTGTGGTGGGGCACTCTGGAGACATCTACTCTGCCTAACGGTTCAAAAGCCTGGCCCGGTTCTAATATTTCATTGCTGGGCTGGGGAGATAGCTCAGAGGTCCAAGCACCATGTGCAAAGGCCCAAGTTCAGTCCCCAGTACTGCATGCTGAGGTGGTCCCGAAACCCTGGGCACACCATGCCTGCCCCAAAGCTGGGTGTGGTGGTGCATGTCTGCAGTCCCAGCACTGGGGAGGCCGAGGCAGGAGGATCACTACAAGTCTGAACTGTGTAGCAAGACCCTGTATCAAAAGAATAAAATTTTCAGGGCTGGGGAGATGGCTCAGTAGAATAAGCGCTTCCCTGGCAAGCACAAGGGTCTGAGTTCAGTCCCCGGTTCAAAAAAAAAAAAAAAAAAAAAGAATAAAATTTTCATTGCTGATTTTTTTGTGTTGTTGGTCTATTTGTAACAGTGAGGTATCAGAGTCCCTGATTACAGTTGTATCAGTGATTATATGATATCTCATGTCTGTTAATATTTGTTTTATATAGTTTGGTACAGAGGTATTTGGTGCACCTGTATTTATGATTGTCATCTCTTCTTCTGGACTGTTTCATTTACAAGGGCATAATGACCTTTTTGTCAATCGATCTTGGCTTGAAATGCGCTTTGTCTGCAAATAAAATAGTTAAACCTGCTTTAATCCAGGAGTATTGTTTTCTATCCTTCGATTTTCAGCCTATGAATTTCTTTTCCAGTTAAATGTGTTTCTTGTATGCAGCATACTGTTGGATCCTGCTTCCTGATCCAGTGTGCCAGTCTGTTTCTTCTGAATGGAGAATCGAGGCCATGAACATTGTTGGTTATTATGGCTATATGTTGATTTGTCCTTGTCATGTTATTTGCTGTTGGTTTCTCTTTTCTCCCCCATTTAATTGTCTACCTTGCCTGGTGGGTTCATTCTACTGGGGTTTATGGAGCTGTGAGTCTTGTTATCTCTTCCTAGACTGTCCTTCAGAACATTCTGGAGTGCTGAATTATTGTTCATAAATTTCCTCAAGTGCTTTTTGTCATAGAAGTATCTTATTTCTCCATCAGTTTTGAAAGATAGTTTTGCTGGATGCGTCAGTCTGGGTTGGAGGTTGTTTTTTTTCAGGCTTGAAACACTGAGCTCCAAGTTCTCATTGACTTGAGGGTTTGTGTTGAGACATCTGCGGTGATTCTGATGGATATTCTGTTAGAGGTGGCTTGTTCCAAGGGCGTTCATTATTCTATTTTTGTATTGAATTTCTGGAATCTTGGCTATTGTATGCCTTGCTGTAGATTTTTTTTATCATGACTAATTGGAGTTCTATATATGTTACTTATCAATATGTCAGACTTTTCATTCTCTGCCAGGGAATTTTTCTACCATGATATCTGTGAAGTTTTTTTTTTTAAATGTTATTTGTCATATCTCCTGCTTCATCATTGACTCCAATTTTTTTTTTTTTTGGTCTTTTTGTCTTTTGAGACAGGGTTTCACTGTGCAGTTCAAGATATCCTTGAGTCCAATTTTAGCTCAAGCTGGCTTCACACACACAGTGGTCCTCCTGCCTCAGTCCTCCATGTGCTGGGATTATAGGCATGGTCCGCTGCACTCAGCAATGGCCAGTCAACCTTATGTTATTTTTCTTTACAACATCTAGTAGCTGCTGGGTTGATTTCTTACAGTCCCTTGATATTTTTAGGGGATCTTTCTTTTCCTGATTGCTCACTGCAGTCCTTTTGTATCTGAGCTTCTCATTAGTTTACTGTGTGACAATTTCATTGTATACTTTCAGTGAAATTCTTAGACTCCTAGTTATTTCTTTGAATCTGTTTCATAGATTCCATTTCTTTTCTATATTGGGCATTCATAGTTTCCATCATTTTCTTAAGCTCATCTATTTTTAAAAATCTGAATTTTTTTCTAGAGTCCCTAAGTATTCTTTTCATTATGGTTCCCATGTCTGTAGTTTTTGATGAAATTATTTTGGATTTGATTTTTTTTTTTACTAGAGCCTCTTTCATTCGCTCTGTTGTTACCACCTCAGAGAGTCCCGGCGGGTGGCTTTTGGATTGTTCCACGTCGTACTCCCCTGCATTTGCCTTTGGAGAGCTGGAAGCCTGCAGCGGCATCTTGTCCAAGTCTCTCCTCATTCTGTGTGGTTTTTAGCATCACTCCCGGGTTTGTGCTTGTAGATCGCCTACGGTGAGTAGCTTTATCGCCAGCACTTAATGTGCTCAGGAAGTGACTACCTCGCAGGTGCAGCTCGCTTTGGGGTTTTGATTCCGTTACAAGATCGTGCCTCTTTAATTTATTAGAGATGAGAAGTTGCTGCCTCCGTGGCCCCGCTCCTGCCTTTTGGCACTGATCCATAGTATTTTACATGATCCTTAGGGCATCTCAGTCTTGATATGCCAGGAAAAACCACTGGTGAGAACAGTCATGCCAGTTTGGCTAAGGTGGTACAATCAGCAGCACCAGCAGCATTCAACACAGCCTAGAAAATGGCAAGCTCAAGTAACTTTTTTTTTTTTTTTGCTCCGAATGCCTTCAGGGCAGGTTGGGCTGGCTTGAGTTGTGGGGATCGAACCACAGCAACCTGAGCCTGACTGCTTTGCTGAAGCAGCCACTTAAAGAACTGGGCTAAGGGGCGGGCCCCCTCAAGTAACTATTAATTTGCCACTTTAACCATACGTAGTAGGCTTGTGGTTGTATTAGAAAATTGTATACAGTAAACAAGCCCTTGTTATGGCAATTTTACCCTCAAGGGAGAAAATGTAGAAGGGCTAAGGACAAAATACATAGAAGAAAGAGAAGGGACTAGGAGCAAAGCTGGGGGACCAAAGCAGGTCTCCTTAGCTTTGGGAGACTTTTGGGAGGAGAGACAGAAGTAAGAAACAAGAATGAGAATAGAAGGAAACACACAGAGCAAAAAGACTCTGTCTTAGTTACTTTTCTCTCATTGCTGACCCCAAAATTCAAGGAAGGAAAGGTTTATTTAGCTCACAGTTAGTGGAGGTTTCAGTCCACACTCAGCTGGCTCCGAGGCAGAGCGGCACAAGGCAGAGAACAGCGGCTCAGAGAGGCAGAAAACAGCAAAGAGCAAAGGGAGGAGCAGCAGCGGCGGCAGCAGCTAGCAGGCTTCTCCCATCCCTTAAGCCGTATGCAGATTACCCAGCCCAGGGCGGGGTAGCGTTCACACCAATAATTCCAGCATTGGGTCATGAATTAATCACAAACTCTAGAAGTCTTCCCCAGTGACTGCATGAGGCTTTGGGGGGACAACCAGACACAAACCATAACAGGCTCCATTAAAGGCAGGGTCATGGGGTTGGGGAGATGGCTCAATGGAATAAGCGCTTCCCTGGCAAGCGCAAGGGCCTGAGTTCAATTCCCAGTTCCGCCAAGAAGAAAAACATAATAATAATAAAGGCAGGGTTACTTAAGTGAAACTCCCTCCCTCAGCCCCTCCCATGTAGCTAACCCTAAACCCACCTAAGGAAAACCAGAGTCATAAAATAGGGACAAACAGTTCGGACAACTTGGGGAATAGGGCAAGCCACACTGCCCCATGACAGGCAGAGGGTCAACAGTGTCTGGGAACTATATACCTTATGGCAATTCTGTGACATTCTTGTCACATTCCTGAAAATAAGGTGGTGTGGTTCCTATGGAAACCTAAACAGTATCTGACCAGAAAACAAAGCTCAGGCAGGTCCTGACAGCTGTGGGAGTCCTCCCCAGAGCCAGGACACAGGTCGGTTGGTCACGAGCGCACAGTAAGCGCTTTCCTGCTCCTTGCACTTGGTCTCTTTGGGGCTTAGCTTTGCCAGCTGTCATCTGCTGCTGTACAACAACCAAGAAACTAGATGTCATGTTTACACTCATATAAAAACAAGAAGAAAGAGAAAAAAAAAACTTTTAAAAATCAAGGATAAAATATAGAAGATTAAAAATATTTTTAAAAGAAGAGAAGACCAACAGCCTACTTCAAGGTTTGTCTGTCCTCTTGACTAGCGTGGGCAGAGTCCAGATCCACAGTGACCAATCTCAGCAGCCAGCAGCTCTGCAGGGGGATAAAGGGTAATCACAGGAAGCCTACACCGCTATTTTCACCAAAGTACAGGCTGAGCTCTGGCTTGGAGGCTGGAACCTCCCAGCCTGCAGCCGTCTCTGTTTCTCCTGCAGCCTCTGCTCAGAGCCACTAGGTAGAACCAGCAGTCGCTCAGGGTCCTCCACTCAGCTGGCCCCAAACCAAAACAGTTTCCAGCCAGTTGGCCTCTGTGGCAGGAAGCCACACAGGGACAGCTCACCAAAAGTGCTCTCTGCTGCTGACCACCAAGCCACTCCACTGGTGGTCCTCTGCAGGGACCTTGGGCTCTCCAGTCTCTGGTCGCCGGCAGTCATGGACTGACAGCAGTTTGCAGATGCCTTCCCCTGCATTGAATCTGGGCTCCGGGAGGAAGCGCCCCCTTTTTTCCTGACCCTTGCCCCTCTGCTTTTGCTGTGGGCTTCAGCTTTTCCTGCTGACCCTTCCTGGTCCCGGGTGTCCACGGCCCTCCTTGTTTTCTGCATGAAGCTGTATTCCAGCACCTGGCCACCAAAGCCCGAGAGCCTCCTGGTAGCTCAACACTCAGCCATTTTCCAGCCCCACAGGGAGGATCCTGGGAGATCCCACCCTGCACCCCCATTCAGGAATGCTCCCTTCCGCACCACTTCTCAGAGTCCCAGAGTTCTCCAGGACCAGCTGCTGTACGTTTGCAGCTAGCCCCTCCTGCCTGCTCTCCCCTGTGTCCCCTGCCACCTTTCCAGCTGTCCCAGTGTCTGGTCACCCATGTGCAGTGTGGAGCCCTGAGGCTGACCCAGCAGCCGCACACAGACTTGAGGCCTGCACGTTGGCACGGGGGGCTGTGGCCGTGCTAGAGGTCCAGGCTCCCGGGAGGCACAGTGGCTTGTGGGGTGTGGCCAGAGGGGCTGTGGACTTGGGTGGCCTCTGTCTACACCTGGCCAGCTGCTGTCCCCACCAGGGAAGAGGGCTGTGCCTAGGACACCCCCTGAGTCTGCTGAGAGGCAGCCCTCGAGTCTGTGAGCTCCTGAAGGCTCACTGAAATGTGGCTTGTGGCAGCTTGTCTCTGGATGCCTTCGGGGCTCCCAGAGTGACACCATGCCCAGAGAACCTGGAAGCCTCGCAGGTGAAGACTCATGCGGCCCTCCCCTCCCCATCGTGCCCTCCTCTGTGTCCCCCTACACCTGGCTGTGCCTCAGGCTCCTTGCTCGGGCCATGGCCGTGGCTGGGCTCTGCTCAGTGCCATCCCGCAGGCTGGCCAGGGCCCTTGCCCACCCTGCACCCACCCGAGCCTGTTGTCCTCTCTCACGGGACTCCTGACCTGTGCTGTTCCTGGCCCACAGTTCCCAAGGGGCTGAGGTCGAAGCTCCTGGGACAGAGTCAGCAGAGGCAGAGCCCAGGAGCAGACAGCCATCTGGTCTAAGTCACGCGCTGGCCCCTGCCAGCTCCCCCTGCAGCAGAGAGGACAGTGAAGGCTCAGGGACACAGCTCGCCTGTGCTCTGAAGGTGGCCTCAGGCCCTGGCCTAGGAGCCACACACAGGGCACGCCACACCCCTCCAGGCCCCAGCCCTGCCAGCCCTGCCTGTGCCACCTGTCTCTGTTCCCAGCGAGGCAGTACTGCCCAGGTACACGGTGGGCACCATGAGCTCCCGCCCTGGGAAAGGCGGGCGACCATGCACCTGCTCCTGCCCGTGTGTTTGACTCTGAGCTTGTGCACGTTCGTGCCGCGACCTTGGCCCTGGCTCCATAAATACCCGAGACACAAGGAAGGGCAGCAGAGGCAGATGCTCAGGATGGGGCACCTGGGGCTGGCCGTCGTGGGCCTGGCCTGCTGCTGGGCGCTGGCCAGGGCTGCAAAGTAAGAGGAGCTGAGGACAGCTTTACTCGTGCTGTTGAAACAGATCCAGGAACTGTGGGACAGGACCTAGGGGAGGGAGGACAGAGTCACGGCAGAGGAGCGGGCTGAGTGAGACCCCAGCAGCGAGCCCATCGTTGGCTGGGCACTGACCTACCAGACCCTGACTGGCTCCTGCCTTGCACTTGAGGTCAGCTCAAGACCTGTCTTAGTTAGTTTCTCTCATTGCTGGGACAAAATACCTGACACCCAAAATTAAGGAAGGAAAGGTTTATTTAACTCACAGTTAGTGGAGGTTTCAGTCCATACCCAGCAGGCTCCAAGGCAGAGCGGCACATGACAGAGAGCAGCCATTCATGGCAGTAGAAAACAGCAAAGAGCAGCAGCTGCAGCAGCTAGCCGGCCTCTCTTGCCACCTTACGCTATGTGCAGATTACCCGCTCAGGGCAGGTATAGCATCCACCCTCACAATACCAGCATTGGATCATGAATGAATCACAGCTTAAAAGCCACCCCAGTGACGGCAAGAGGCTTTGGGAGGACACCTAGACACTAACCATTATAGTACGCAGCTGAATTTGAATTCAGAGCCACCAAAAGCAGTTTGTGGTATTGTTGCCTCCCAAACTGGAAGGTCGAGCCCAAGTCGGGGTCTGGTTCCTGCTGCAGCCTCCCTTCCATGCACCCCTCACTGGGAGCAAACCCCACCCTCTGTTGCAGGGCTTCCCTCTGGGTTGGGGTCATGAGGCTGTAGCACCTCTCCCAGGGCATATGCATCACCTACCATTCAGCTGCCAGGAAGAGGCACAAGTGACAGAATGCCAGCTGCCTCATGGACAGGGAGGGGGCGTGGACCCAGGCTCCCACAGGGCATCCATGTGGTCCCCAGCCACAGGGGGAACACAAGCCTCCACCTTGCTGAGTGGGGACTGGGTTGGTCCAGTTTCACCTAGCACCAGGAAGGAAGGCACTAGGGTTGATGTAGTGACCAGGAAGCGGGTCGTGGGGCAGGGGTCCAGGAAGCCAGCCCCTCCCCACCCTTGAGAAGCTGCTGGGTCCACTTTGTGGCCTCCTCTGAAGCTGCCTCTGGGAGGCCCCGGGAGCCCTGGAGCCTGCCTGGGTCAGCACTCAGGATCCGGGCTGCCCGGTCACGGTCCCCTGACCCAGTCGTGTCTCACCCACAGCTGGGCACCGTGTACACGGGAGGATTCATGGAGGGGGTCAACAAGAAGCTTAGCCTCTTGGGCAACGACTCTGTGGACATCTTCAAGGGCATCCCCTTTGCCACCGCCAAGACCCTGGAGAATCCCCAGCGTCACCCTGGCTGGCAAGGTGAGCACAGGGCTGCGGGGTGGCCCTGGCTGGGTGGTGAGGGCAGCTTGTGACGACACATGCCATCTGCTCCTGCCTCCCTCAGGGACCCTGAAGGCCACAGACTTCAAGGAGGCATGCCTCCAGATCACTCTCAACCCAGACAGCACTTATGGGGACGAAGACTGCCTCTACCTCAACATCTGGGTCCCCCAGGGCAGCAAGCAAGGTCTGGGCCCAGCCAGTGGGAAACTCTGGGCCTTGCCCTGGGTGGTGTGTGGGCTGCAGAGGTGGGCAGAGCAGTTCCGCCACTGGTCCTCTGCTTGGGCAAGGTTCTTCCTGCACGGGGCATAGACAGGGAACTGGCCCGGGAGACCAGGGCAGGCACCTAGGTCACCGTCCTGCTATCCACCTCAGTCTCCCAGGACTCGCCTGTCATGGTCTGGATCTACGGTGGCAGCTTCTACATCGGGTCCAGCAACGAGGTTGACTTCTTCAACAACTACCTGTATGA